CACACACACACACTACCTGCCTGCCAGAGCAGCGCGTGCGTGCAGCTGTACTGAGCTACATGACAACGTCCCAAAACCGGGCGCCGGGCAGGAATCCCACCCCCAAGTCTCGACAAACGCGACCCCGATGACCTCTTACGTAGGATGCATACATCAGGTCAGGTCACAGGTCAGGTCAGGTCAGATTAGGTCACAGGTCAGGTCAGGTCAGGTCACGAAAGCCCGATCGCTTGTTCTTAGTCGTAGTTAGTAAGAATTTTACGGCACTTACGACAAAGTTACATCGTGTGAGTGCGGGGGAATAGAGGTGTTACAAACGACAAAGTTACAAAGTTACATCGTGTAAGGGCGGGGAATAGAGGTGTTACAAACACGGGTAATAATGAACACACACAAGGAGGCGAGATAAGGGCGATGGAGGGAGGGAAAGAAAGAGCAAACTACACCAGAGCACCCGACAGACAGACAGACAGACAGACAGACAGACAGACAGACAGACAGACAGACAGACTCAGTAATCATAGCTTTAGTTTTAGTAAGAGTTTTACGGCACTCGCAACCCAATAAGGTCATATAAGTGCCGAAGATTAGAGGGGTTACAAGAGAGTAATAATCATAAAAAAAGAAGGAGAGATAAAGACAAAGACAATAGTTGTTTAATAGGAAAGAAGGAGCAAACTACATCAGAGCACCCGCAAACCACTCACACAGAAACAATTCTGAGGGGGAGTTAACCCCGTCCGTACGTCGTGTTTTACTATCGTATCCATACGACGTGGGGAACTCTGTGCCACCACTTTCCAAAGAGGAAATTTACTCATTAATCCGATCCGTACCCTTTGCATAGTAATCTGTCAAAATGATTTTTTTAAAGAAATACTGAAAGTTTCAAAGAGATCTTCGTTCTACAAGTATTCTAAAATGTGAAGAATACAACCCCGGGGGTACTAAATGACCCCAGGGCGTACGGACAGGGTTAAAGAAGTAGGACCTACCCGTGGCGCCCTCCAGCCAAACGCACAATCAGCGTCTGACTCTGTTGCGGTCACGAAACGGCGCGACGAACACTTCAAGTTCAAAGTCGAACACACACACACTCCTATATATATATATATCAATGTGGCCAGGGTTCAAAGGTTAGTCATCAGGATAATTTACTGCAACACTCGCTTCACAACGCCAAGAGCACATTCAACGCGGTGTCTATAATTGTGTATGCCACCGCCGCTGCTGCAATCACAACAGAACGAAACAACAGCGCGACATGGCACTCCGAATTTAAGTTTTCGTTTTAGTAGAGGTTTCACGGCGCTCGCAACAGCATAAGGGTCATAATATGATCGCCAA